GCAGTAGGGAATGGCCTCCTTTCTCTGTCCACCTGCGCCTCACTCGGGATTCCTCAGTGCCCGCTGTGGCCCTCCAGGTCACCGCGGTCATTCTCCGCATCCCGGGACCCTGGGGGAACTTGGCCAACTAGCGAGACCGTCGCTTCTTGACGGTCCCTGGCGCCTGCCCCTTTCTGGGTGTGGAGCCAGGCCCTGGAGGGAGCTTTGGAACGCTCTTTGTGGCACGGACCGCCTAACCCTGAACAAAAAGTTTGGCAAGAGCCCCCAAGCCTTAACGGAGCGCTCAGACGTCTCACCAAACTGGACAGGCCTCAGTTTCCCCATCTCGACTGCTGGGCCCAGGAAGCCCCCATAGAGGGACTGATGCTGACTGGCAGTGCCCACCTACACCCCCCCCCCCCAATGTCGCCAAGCCAAGGGTGAAGACCGGGGGGCACAGCGGAGCAGTGCACAAACGGACTTCCTGGGAAAGGAGGTCCTGGTGCAGGCAGCCGGGTGGACACCGCTCACCAGCGGTGCCAGCAAGGTGGGCTCAGCAAGAAACCTGGCACCTAGTTAGCCTTGTTTTGATGATTCAGAAAAAGCCACACATGGGTGTGAATTTTCACGGATGGATGGCCAGCAGGAGGAAAGGACCAATCCCCAGAGACCCAGCTCCCAGGCTCCAGGAGCCCATGGGGCAGCCCAGATAGGAGACAGGTGCCCTGCGTACAAGATGGCGGCCAGTTGCCATAGCAACAGAAGGAGCTCCTTGGTTGTGGGGGCGGCACCGGGGAAGCCAGCTGGTGCCAGATGGACAAACCCAGCAGAAGGCAGCCCCGTCAGGTGAAGCCCGTGCCCCCTGTGCCCAGGGCGCTCTCTCCATATGCCAACCTCAACCTGCCCCTTCTCCGCGGGCCCCAAGGCCACCTTTCTGCGGGTGGTGATGGGCAAGGCCCACTTGACTCTTGCTTGTGCAACAAGAGATAAGTGCTTATGAACGAAAGGCCCCGTCTGCTCAGCGCCCTGCCCGTGGGCTGAGGGGTCCCTGCCGGCAGCACGGGGGGACGCAGGAGCGAGAGGGCCACCGGAGAAGCGAGAGTGTTTGGAAGAGCCGTTTTGTAGCTGTGAACAGAAGGTTCCCGGCGCCTGGGACACACTGCTCTGGAGAGTTCTGGGAGGGCTGGGGAGGTAAGCAGGGCAGCCGTGGCCAGTCGGGGGGCCATGGGGTTCCCCCTCCCCCTGAGATTGCCCACGTGGTCCAACCCGGGAAGCGTACAATAAGCTGCGGCCACGGGACCGCCACTCTGTTCAAAGAGGTCCCTCCCCAGACAGTCTCTGCAAGACGTCCTCTTGCTCAGGACCAACCAGGAGAACTCTGGCCACTCCATGCCACCCAGCGGCTAGTCTCAGATGGGCCCCGCGGGAGCTCCAGGGCCCCACCGCCCATCACCCCAGCAACCCACGGCCCTCACAACCAAGCTCCGGAAGCCTGCTCCGGCTCTCTCCCACCCACCCCACTGCCAGTCACGGCTCCTCTCACTCCGCTTGCCCCCTCCCCTCGCCTGACGTGGGCACATGGCCCTCTCATGCAGGTCCATCTCAGTGGAGCCTCAGGATCACCGTGGCAGCCAGCTAGGGCCCAAAGACACAGGTCACTTGTCTGTGGTCACCCAGCTGGGACGTGGAGGAAAACCAGGATACGTCGCGTCCCGGGCAGCCTGTCCCATTTCAGGGTTCAAAGCCAGAACCTCCCCCTTCCGCTGCCCTCCCTGGGAACAGGATCCCTCTACCTACCAGATCTGCCAGCAGCAGATGTGTGTGCCCACTGCATACAACCGCCAGACCCCGGCACCGGCCAGAGCTGTGAGAGGGGGGCAAGTCTAGGATGGGGCCAGCAGGGAGGTCCCATCAGGAGGTGAGCCTGTGTGTGCAGAAGGGGCCCCGTGGCCTCCTGGCTCTTCTTTGGCTTAGGTCAATGGTGCCTCTCCTCTGCACACAGCTCTCCTGGAAGGGGGTGACAGGGGCAGGGTGAGGAGGCACCAGGGCAGCCTGGCAAGACAAGATAGAGGGCTTCTCGGAGGGGCCCTGACTGGCTGGTGCAGAGAGCCCCATCTCAGGAGCAGCTCGACCATGGCCTCACCGCGAGCCTGATCTGGCCTCAGCCTCTCTCTGCTTCTGGAAGGCCACCCTTCCGGCCTCCCCTGGCCCTCCCTCCCATCCTACCCCACTCCCTGACGGTCCCCCTAAGTCCCCTCACCTGACAAAGCCTCCTTCAGGGTCGCTGACAGAGCAGCCTTTGTGTGGAGGCTGGGCCTGGAGGTGGGGGAGGGTGACCCCTTCTCACACCCCACCCTGGCAGCTGGCAGTGGTCAGTGGTCTCATGAGCCAGCAATGGCCTCTCCAACCTCCCACCCGATTTCTCGATAAAGACCCCTCTCGGAACATGGCCCGCTGCCCCTCATTTCCTCCTGGGAGAAGTTTCTGGTCCTTCACTGCCACCCCCAGCATGGCAGCCTGAAAGGCTGTGGTGGGGGCCCAGCGACTTGCCTTTCCGTCTGTGTCTTCCCTCGGGGGCTTCTCTCTGTCTCCTCCTGCCCTGACTGTGGCCAGAGGCCCTCTGTAGCCTCCCTTCCCTTCCCACCTGTCCTAGCAGACTCTCTTAGGGTCACTCTAGTCCCCAAGCACACTCTTCCTCCTTCCTGGCCTTCCCACGCGCTGTCCCCTCTCCATAGCCTGCCATCTCTCAGCACCCAGACAGCTGCCCCTCCCCTCCAGGCCGGCCCTTCTCCACACTCCCAGGGCACCGCAGCCCTGTGTCTGCACGACAGCCCTCTTCACGCTGTGACTGCCGTGATTCCTGCTCCGTGATGCTGGTTCCTCAGAGCAGCTTCTCCTTCAGCCCTTGGTGTGACATCTAACACCCAGGGAGTACCCCACCACCACGGATACAGAGGGGAGAGTGGCCCGAGATGGAGTCAGGGGTACGGATGTGAGTGGGGCTACAAAGGAGCAAGACTCGGGGTTTCACGTGACTGGGCGGGATGTGGGAGCAAGGGCAGGGCACCCAGGAGGATGCTCAGCTGCGAACCCGAGGGCCTGGGTGTAAAGAGCCCAGCGCAGAAAACACAGGGCAGCCAGGATGTGAGATAAGACTTGGAGGTGGAAGCTCAGTGTGTCAGCGTCCAAGGCGTCTACCTGGGGGAGGCCCCACTTCATGCTGCTTTGGTGAGACGCTGCACTTACATATCAAGATACAAATAAAGCAAGAAACCGACTCACCGAGACCCTGTGTAGCGCTCCCAAGGCTATAAATCTTTACGGGAGCAGCCTCGCCTTTATGCCACAGAGCTGCCGGGAGGTTTGAACCACGAACCTTATGGTTTGCGGTCCAACGTTTGCCTGCCAGGACTCCTCTATGAAGATGGAAGGTTAGAACACAGACATGCCCCGGACCCTTCTTGCGACTAGGGCCTGGTACGTGCTCTGGGATTGACCAATCCCAGCCTCCACGCCATTCCAGGCTCTGATGGAGGCCCAAATGGAAGGAGCATAAGTCGTGGTTGGGGTGCAGAGCTGGAGTTTGGGAGAAGCCAAGCCTAGAGGAGTGCAGTGGAGAGTTTACAACTTCCAGTGATCGTTGAAGTGATGCAGCTGGGTGAGAGAAGAACAGGGGTGTGTGTGTGTGTGTGTGTGTGTGTGTGTGTGTGTGTGTGTGTGTGTTGGCGTTTCCGATGGCATGGCCTTGGTGGATGCTGTGCTCAATGCAGAGGAGGGAGTGAGCCAGTGAGTGGAACTGAAATGGTAAAGGACAGGACCGAGGAGCCAAGGCCAAAGGAGAGCCTCAGTGTGAGAGGTCCCACAATGGCACCAAGCACCAGGGACCAGGCGTGAGGAAGGGCCAGAGCTGGGGGGCTGGGGGTGGCCTGTGAGAGGGTACCGTTTTACCGGGGTTTTGAAGATGAGAGCTAGACTGAGGTGAGAAGACTCGGGCCTTCCCCACAAGCATGCCATGGCCCCGCACACACCCCAGAGAGCCCTCCCCCCACCCCCCTGGCAGAGGACCCTGCCTGTCTGCACCTTGGCCTCCACCTCTGGTGCCAATCACCCCAGCTCTGATCTCCTCGGCAGGGCTACTTGTGGCCTTTGCCCTGGCCACATCCTTCCTTCTCCCTGCTCTTCCTGTGGCTGGGGTTCAGAACACAGGCAGAGAGAGGGCCAAGCTCTGTCAGAATCGAGCGAGGAACAGCTGACCCGGAGCCGCCGTTTCTCCTTCACAGTCAGCCAGCCCCAGCATGAGGGGGAGTCAAACAGGTGAAGGCGTTGACATTACCCACAGTGCTCTGGGGCTCACAGCCGCTCTGGGAGCAAACCCAGGGCTGAGACCTCCCTACCATCTCCGCGCCTGTGCCAGTCTCTCGTCTCTGCCCGGGACCACCATCCCTAGTGTCTCTCTTCTTCCGTCTCTCCTCACCCTCTCCACACCAATCCCTATAGTGGGAGGATTCCAGACTACCGCCGGCTGGCCGGCCGCAAGCCCTCCTTTCATGTCCACCATCCAGGGCTGGCGCTCAGCCCACACCTGCCAGAGGCGGCCATTTTGCAGACGCCAGCTACCTAAGATGGCGGCCTCCCTCTCTCCCACCCTCCCCCGGCTCTGCTTCCGTTCCCACCGCCTGGCCTCCCACCCAGGCCCCTTTCTTTCTGAAGCCGGAGCCCAGCAAGGTGGGGGGCCAGGCTGGGGAGCCAAGGCCAGAGGAAACGAGACAAAAAAGGACAGAAAAGGCGGCCCCTTGGCACCTCTCTTTGGCATCGAAGTCCAGCCAGGGGTGGGGGGTGGGAAGAGGGAAGAGGAGAAAGAAAGTAGTGTGTTTTATTTCTGCCCTCTTCCTGGGCCCCCCACCCCCACCCATGCACACACACTTTGATAGAAACAAAATCTCTCTCTCCCCTTTTCTCTCCTCTGCAGCCCCCTCCCCTTTTTCTTCCTGGCTTCTACGATGAGCCTCCTGGAATGCAAATGAGCTGTATTATGCAAATGGATGCAAATAAAGCTTAACGAGGAGAAGGAGGGGGGCAGAATGCCTAATGAGCAATGGCGGAGGGGGCAGATGGAGGGTGGTGGGGATGGCCCCCTCCTTGTCTCCTTTCCCACCGCCTGGAGGTCTGCTGGGGTCACCGAGGTCCTCACTGATGGGAGAGAGTGTAGGGTCAGAACTCCATCACTACAGCTGACAGGCCATGGAGACTGGGGTGGGAGGTGACCAGGATGGTCCTGGCTGCACTTGACGGGCAGGAGAGCCTGAGCTGGGGGGAGAGTGGGGGGAGACCTGGTGCCCACTGCACAGCTCTGCCACCTCCCTGCCTGCGGGTCTGCTGCTGCCTGACCCTGGCGCTCCCGCCTCTATGAGAGGGTGCTGTTCACGCACCTCCTGCTGTGCATCTTAAAGGAGGGCTCCCAAGGGAAGACTCCCAGCCAGACCCAGGTTCTTCCCAGGGGTGGAGGTGAAGGCCGCCTCTCTTTGTGCCTGGAGGGTGGGGGTTGGGGTGGCTGTCATGGCAACACTGCAAGGAACACCCACCTCCCCAACATTCGGCCCCAGAGGACCCAGGAGTTGGTGCGGAGGAGGGGGGGGATAATGGATTGACACCCCCTGATGCCCCACCACCTGGCACTGCCAGCCGGAGATGGCAGCATCAAATCCTAGAGAGAATGGTCCCTTTGTTTGGAGGCTCACGGTGTGGGGGAGCTGGCCTGGGCACACAGAAGGGCCTTCTCCAGGCCCCGCTCCAGTTTGCCTGGCTCTCCTGCTCTCTAGAGAATCCCTGTGGCCATCTCCCAGCTTCTGTGCCCTGGCAGACAGTTGCCCCCTGGCCTCTTCTTTGCCAGCGATAGCTAGGTGTGCCTTGCCCTGTGCTGCTCCCCGAAGCCTCCTCTCCAGGCCCCTGTGGGCAGGGATGGCAGTCAGCCCCAGCTCCCCCTGGCTTGTGTGGACACCGCACATGGCCAGACCGGCGCTCGTTCTTTCCTGTGTGGGGTAAGCCTCTGCTCTTCACCTGACCCAAGAAGAGGGCCTTCTAAAAGAGGGTGTGAACGCAGTGGGAAGGTCCAGGACTCAGAATGCCTGGATCTTGGCATTGCCATGAGCCAGCTAAGCGACCTTAGAGACATCTCTTCCATGCTCCGGAGGGCTCAAGTTCCTCCTCTTTTAAATGAAGGGCATGGGCTGGTGATGTCTGAGGTCCCCGTTAGCTCTACCAGGCCCCTACACTGTTGCACCCACAACCACGGGGCACATATGGTTTTTAGAAATGGACCCTCCCGACCTTCCGTTAACAGCTGAAGCAGGCTCAACTCCAAGGAGGCAGGAATGCCAACTGCTGTTGTCTTTCTGCTAAGACTCCACAGCCCGGTGCAAACAACTCCCAAGAATGAAAACATGTTGACCCCTGGGGGTACAGGACTCCTCCCAGCCCTCCCAACAGGGGTCCGCACGGCTGCGCACTCACCATGGCCCGGGAGCTGTCCGCGGTGCTGGATGCGGCTGTAGCGCTGATGGAGGCAGGAGGGCGGGAGGGGTGGTGGTGAAGAGCACCCACCCGCCCCAGGCGAGAAGCTAGAGGGAAGAGAAGACGCAGAAACATTTGGAAAGAGTCAGGAAAGGGGAGTAAATGCTCCCGAAGAAAGAAGAAGGTGTTTCCTCTCTCAGAAGACCTCCAAAGCACTGATACTACTTTGGGGGAAGGAGTGGGGAGGAGAACACTAGTGTCAAAGTAACTTTGGAACCTGCTCTCCGTTGTCCCACTGTGTCCTGGGTCAGTCCAGCCCTCATTTGAATTCAATTGGGAATCCATGGGGGGATGGAGCCAGAGTTCCTGAGCTCTTTCCTTGGGAAAGACCTCAAGGTGAGGTGAGAGGCTGAGGCTCCACCTCTAAATTCCACCCTAGATCCTATGGCTCCCACAAGGAACTGGGTGATAGATGGACAAGCTACACCAGTGGAGACACTCGATCTGTCTGGTGGTATTATAGGGGTTAGGAGCTGGGCGGGGCGGGGGCGGAGGGGGCAGAGTGCGTCCTGGGCATGTATGAGCAGATGTACACGTCTGTGTCCCAGGCCAATGGGTGAGCCAGGATCAGTGGCTCCTTAGAAGCATCGAGGGAGTTTTTAAATGCTATCAGTCCCTCGGCCTCAATCCCAGACACTTTGGTTTAACTCGTCTGGGACTGAACCCAGATATCAGCATTTTTTTTAAAAAGCTCTCCCAGTTGATTCTAGTGCAGAACCAAGCAGGGAATCACTAGGCTAGCGGGTGGGGAGTGTGTCTTACCCCTGGGGGGAGAGAGGCAGAGGGGACCCCAAAGAGAGAGGTAGTGAATAGGCAGGAGGACCTGCATGTCTCTCTCCTCTCCTGGGAAATGCCCAGGTGGCCTGCAGGTGATTCTGGCTTTGGGTGGGTCCGTCTGTGCTGTGGGAGCTCAGATCACCTGGAGGCCATGAAAGGGAGTGGTCTCCCCAGCCCGGGTCCCTGTGCAGAAACAGGGCATGGGTGTGCGGCTCCCCTTCACCCAGAGGGTCCCCTGGGAGGCTGCCATGGAAGGTAAACAGCCACAATGGTCCCTTTCAGGGTCCAGACTCCAACCCTTCAGGCCAATTAGCAGACACAGCAAACAGCAATTCACTGCCTTCAGCCGCTGTCATAACAAACTCAGAGCTGCCTTAATGGGGGATTAGGCTAGGAGGAGGGGGTGTCAGAGCCCTGGGAGAGCCTGGGTGGTGAGGAAGGGCTCCCCCTTTCTCTCGCCTCTCTGGTAACTCAATATCACCCACTCTTTCCCTTTCATGACCCTGCTCCTGATGCTCCCCAGAGCACCAACAGGAATCGTTGTATTGTTTCTGTCTAGTCCTTCCTCCTGTGATTCTGGAGTATTTATCAAATGCATTTATTTCCTAGGGAAGTTGGCATGCCCTGATTCTGGGCGAGGCAGTATATATCACTCCCCACCTTCAGCTCTCTGAGGTTCCACTAGCAAAGAATTGGCGGGGCGAAGAACCAGCAGTCTGCCTCCAGAACACTGGGGGTGGGGGTGGGGGCAGGAAACATGAGTGAATAAATACCAGTATTCCAACTCCCACAGTAGGCTTTAAGGACTTCCAGATGTAGGAGAATGCAGGGGGGGTGGTATCCCACTCTGGTGGGCTGCCAGCCTCAGGAATAATACTCAGAAGGGGTAGAGATGGGGGTGGGGCAGGCTGAGCTGGTTGGCTAGAGGAGAGAAGCCGTGGCTTCCTCCGACCCACCCACCGGGTGATGAAGGAAAGCCTGCACTCTGGTAGGCAGGTCCCTATTTGGTTTTACAAGTGTACCTGCCACCTAACGGGTCCTTCCATTTCAATAAACTGTGTGTCCAGCAGCTCCAGAACCTAGACGGTTCGAGGCACCAACTTGAAGTGATGATTTGTCGAGATTTCTCTACCTGTGGACTCCAGTTTGCCGATCATTCACCACACCGTCAGTGGCGAGACCCATGAAGAAGAGAAGACACCAGGGCTGTTCTGCAGAAGCCAGGGGCACCTCGCGCCGTCAGTAGCATGGCCTCCAGTCCTGCCCTTTCACAAGCTGCCCAAGGCCTTGTGCCTCCTCTCTCCCAGCTCCCCACAGTGTACTCGGGTCCCCAGAAGTCCCTCCTCGGATCTCAAGGCTGAAGAAGAAGGAAGGCCTCAAGTTCAAATACTCAGCGATCCGATCCTTCCTCAGGAATCTGCTGGGGATTCAATTTGCATCCAGAGAGCTGAGTGTGCTTTCAGACTCTCCAGGTGCAGCCTCGCTGCCTCCTACCCTTTCGCCGCCACCAAGACTCAGCCTGAACCACAGGTATAACACAAGACCTCTCCCCCGAGTTCCTCATTCGCCTCCTGGCACAGTCCTGAGGGTACAGATTCTTACACACACACACCCATTACTGGAGGACCTGAAGCAAGAGGCTGCCATGAACGCAGCTGGAGCTGCCCAGTGATGGGGCCCAAGCATCGCCCTCGATTCTGCTCCCTCAGGTCACTTTGCTCCATCTGTCCCTTTCCCTTTGTGGGCTCATGACTGTGGTCTTGGTGATGGTTGTGACAAGAAGGACCTTTCAACAAGCCCCTCCCTGTGCCTGGACCTGGGGAAACTGTGCCCTTGGATGGGGATGTAAGTCATTGGGGGAAACCAACTCTTTAGGGGGGCATTGCCCTCGCACCACTCTCGGAGTGTGTGCTCAGGCTGTCAGAGGAGAGGCTAAGGAGTGAGGTGGACATAGAGACCGGCCTCAGCAGCGTTTGCTTCCAGCAGGAAAGGGGGGAGGCTGCAAACTTGGACACCAGGACCGAACATTGGCCCAGGGACCCAGTGACCATGAGGCCTTTCTGAGCCCTTTTCCTTGTCCCCTCTTTCCTGGGAGGGCTTCCTGCTGGGCCGGGCTGAAGGAAGGGCTCTCTGGTATTGGGGGTGGGGGCATGGGTCGAGGGGAAGACTTAGTGACACCACTGTGGTGTCTGTATTGAGTAAAAACCAGGCCAGCCTCCGTGTCTGTTCCTACAGTAGGTTTATACCCATGCGCAGCCAGAGATGCCCCCTCCCACCACCAAGCCTCCTACCCACCAGTCACTCACCCAACTCACAACCCCACCCGCCAGGGCCACACATCTGCCAGACACAAACCCTCAGCCCAAGGCCCCTGGCCCCCCAGTTCCCCTTTCCACAGAAATGCTTGTTTTGTAGAGTCTAAGCCCCCAACCTAGCAGTTCCCTGAAACAAACCCCTCCTCTACCCCTCCTCTCTCCATGCCTCTCCTTTGGAGACCCTGCCCTCCAATTTGCTCATAGGGTGTAACAGCAAGACTCTAAACCAGGGGTCCTCAAACTACAGCCCTCCCGCCCGTGGGCCACATGCAGCCTGCAGGGTGTTTTTGCCCCGTTTGTTTTTTTTTTACTTCAAAATATGTGCAGTGTGCATAGGGATTTGTTCATAGCTTTTTTTAAACTATAGTCCGGCCCTCCAATGGGTCTGAGCGACAGTGAACTGGCCCCCTGTTTAAAAAGTTTGAGGACCCCTGCTCTACACCAATCAGGGTCAATAAATGCAGGCTTGGTCTCAGGTGGGTGAACCCTAGCAAATCCCTAAGGAGAATTCTTAGCCAGCTACATGAAAGGCTTAAAAAGATTTTTTAAAAGCTCTATCTTTCTAGGTGCTTCACAAATCTAGCTCCTCACCCCTGGGTGTGCACCTATCCGCCCCCCTCAGCCCAAGCCCCCTCCCAGCCCTTTTCCTTCCTCCCCTCCCTTCTCAGCTCACCCCACCCCCCTCCCTGGATCGCAGGCTCCTCCCCATAGCACTCAGCCAGCCTTCGCAGAGACAGGGAGAGAGGAGTGAGGAAAAGCTCTAGCAGCTCATTTGGGCCTGTGGTTCCTCATCTGTAAAATGGGCTCAGTGACAGCGACCTCATAGTCGAAGGATCAAAGCAAGGCAGAAAAGGTCAGTACTTTGGCCGCTGGTGCTGCACGGTGTTACAGCCCCATGCCCCTCCAGTCTCCCGGGAACCTGCCCTCGCACACCTGTCCTCCAGGACCCCCCAGCCCAAACAGCTATGAAGGCAAGGGCCTCTGAAGGCAGGGGGCTGAATGTGTTACAGTCTCTCTGAAGCCCCCTGCTTTTGAGTTTGGATTCTCCAATGTCTCCCACATAATATGCGACTGACTCATAATAATCTTCTAGCTGTAAAAATCAGTTCCCGGAAAGACATCTGAAATTGACACCAGAAACCAGAGTCAGTATAAGGTCATGGAGACCAGGCCTGATGCCCCCTTTTACTCCCTTCTGACCCTGGTACTGGAATGTTGGCAAGGGGTGGGGAATGGAAAGCGGCTGTAAGTACAGAGAGTCCCTTCTTGCTAGCTTTGGCCACATTTACTTTTATCCCACAAAGTGGCTCTGGAACAGTCTCCTCTCGGCTGCACCCAGAAACTCTTTTGCTGCAAACATTTGCGTCAGACCAAATCAGTGCATTCCTTTATGGAAGCCTGGTTAAGCTGGAGTTCTTTGCTGGCCCTGGGCAGCGCAGATAGATACTAAGCATCAACTCCCTCGGTGTGTGAGCTCCTCAGAGTGCTGCTCCTTGAGGGCAATTTATTCTTCTTGGAAATGATTTCCCAGAGTGAGGGTAGGGTGGGGTGGGAAGGAAGGGTGTCCTGTGGTCAGTGAAGACAAGCCAGCCTGAGCAACTGATCCAGACATCAGACTCAGGGTCCTGGGCTTGCAGGAAGGCTGAATAGGATAGAGAGGACCTCGCACTGCCCTCGTTTGGGGAACCTGGACCTCACTGGTACCTCCAACCTTTGTCATTCTCAGCTCCAAGCCACCCTGGTCAGCTTCAGAGAACCTGGTCCAAGCAAAGACCAGCCTTCTCAGGTGACCTCCCCAGCCCCCCAGCCAGCCTCTTCCACCCCAACAACCGCTGTGGTCAGCCTGCCGGCAAACTGTCCGCTGGCTCCAGCACTGTCCTTAAAGCCTCTGGCGCTGGATCTCAGGAGGGTTCCCTTGGAGCCGCTCGCCCAGCGATGCTCCCTCCCCTCGGGAAAGGCTTCATCCTGAGAAGTGACCACCATGCCTCTCCCTTGCCGACCGCGGGAAGAGCTGAGATTGTGCCAAGCGCAAGTGAAACGGGGCGGGGACTCCTACCTGCTGCTGGGTCAGGGTCGTCTCTACTGGTGCGGGCTGGACGGCGGTGGCCGCCGCCTCATCTTCGCAGGTCCTGGCCGCTTGATCAAGCCCAGGCTCAGGCTTCCTTGGCCCGCCCGCCCGCCCGCGCAAGGCCGGCTCCCCGGGGGCCCTCTGCGCAGTGTATGGGGTTATTTTTACTTTCGGTTATCTAGCTTTATGAAGACTCCACACCACTCATACAGCTAGATAACCAAAGATAACAACCAACCCCGCCTCCTGGCCGCCGCCGCCGCTTCCACGCAGCCTCCCGGGCTGCCGCCCCGTCGCCCGCCCCAGGGGGATCAGGCTGGGGTCTACGGGTGTGGGGTGGGGGCAGACGGGGAAATGGAGACCGAAGAAAAAGGTGCGGAGACTCAAGACAGGACAGAAGCTGGAAACGGCGCCAGGGCCTTCGGCGTCGAGGTCCCGCGATCGGCCCTCGGACCCAGACCCGAAAGGCTGCCAGACGCCCAGCGTCCTGCTCCCGCAGCCCCCGGAGCGGGCTGGCGCTGGTCCGGGGGACGGGAGCCGGCGCGCTTTTCGTGCCACCCGGGAAGGCGGCGGGGACTGAGGCGGAGGCCGTCGGCGCCTCCCGGGGTCCCCCGGGCTCTCCGCGGCCGACCAAGGGCGCCCGCCAGCTGGCGCGGGAGCCGCAGCCGCGAGCGGAGCCCGAGCGCGGGCCCCAGCTAGGCGGAAAACCGACGGCGCCGCGACCTCCAGCGGGACCGACCCCAACGGCGCCCAAGTAGGAGAAAGGGCAATTTCGGAGACTCCAAAAGGGAGCGGGGCCGATGGGGGTCGATGGAGATGCCACCCACCCCGGCTGCGGAGATCCCACCCCACCCGGGCTCCGGCGGCGGAGCCCCTCGGAGAGCCGGCCGGCCGGGCGCTGGAAGGTAACCACGGTCCCCGGGCCCGAGGGCTCCGGGAGAGGCAGATGGCTTTGCACAAAGAGGACCAGAAAGCACTAGGGCGGTGGGGATGGCCAGGGATCCCTGGCGAGAGGAGAAGGGTCCCTGGGGGCGCGTGGGGTCCCGATCCGGGGGAGGTGCTGACCAGGGCAGGGTCCCGGGAGAGAGCCACCCCCAGGAGAGTGCCCGGGGCTCGCGGGCCTCGGGGAGGACGCCGGAGGCCGCGGCGCCAGCTCGCCGCGC